CCACACATTTCAAATAGCTCAAATTTTAAAGTAAAATGAGGGCCGGGTGGTGATGGCACACGCCTTTAATCCCAGCACTTGGGAGGCAGAGGCAGGCCGATTTCTGAGTTCGAGGCCAGCCTGGTCTACAGAGTGAGTTTCAGGACAGCCAGGGCTACACAGAGAAACCCTATCTCGAAAAAAAAAAAAAACCAAAAACAAAAAAAACCAAACCAAAACAAAAGTAAAATGAGACCTTCCAATTTCCCCTCAGCCCCCTTTAAACCATTTAAGAGTTTCTAGAGAATATGTGAATTAACTCTACTTTCACCATCTAATCTCCACCCCTTTTTTGTTAAGTTAACCTAAAACTACCTCTTCTTTGTTTAAAGCAATTTTTAGAATTGGATATTTAAATCCTAAGGTCTTAGAATGTCTTTAAGGATGGACAAAGGAAGACAAAAGGCTAATGAATAAGATATAGTGTCAGGCTAGCAATCATGGGAGAAGTAAGGCTACGACTCACAGCTGAGTAAGAAATGTTAGTGGAGAGTAGAAAACACCTGATCAATAATTTGATTCCGGGAGGTGAGGATACAGTTTAGTGGTAGAGTACATGTTTAGTATCATGTATAGGTCCAAAGCTGAATTCCCATAACTGCCAAGGAAACCAAACCAAACATATACTTGATTTTCTTAGCAAATTCTGCTCAGAAATTACCCAAGTGCTCTTTGCAAAAACATCACCTGCATATCCAGGCCACATGACACCAGGCTCTGAGGCCTGTGAGGTCGAAAAGCCACAGAAGAACAAATGTTGGAATGTCTCTTCAGGGATCTGGTAACTTTCTTCTTTTCCAAGTCCAGGATTTTGATTGCCCCAGTGTCATCAGCAGAAGCCAGCAGGCTTTCAGTTTCATTTAATGAAAGACAATTGATTTCTTCCTCATTCACGTGAAACTGGTCCAGGGACTCTTTAAGAGACCTGACATCTAGTACACTGATAGTTTCTCCATGGGCAGCATAGAGCTTGGTGGGGCAGGAGGCAGAAAACAAGACGCTGGTAACATCATCAGCCCCTTCCAACTGCATGTGTCCTAACGGGGTCCCATCTTCACCCCAAGCCACAAGGTCTCCACCCTCTCCTCCTGAAGCCACCAGCCCGTCTTTACTTGCATTCAGACAAAGGATTGAAGAAGAATGTCCACCAGTCCACTTGACTGCCATGATGGCCGCAAAATTCTGTGAAGAGGGAGGAAGCCTTTATCAGTTATTGTACAAGAACTTGATACTATGAGACAAATATAATTACCAACATTTCAATAGTTTTTTTAAAGATTGCTTAAAAATTCAACAACCCCCTACCCTCTCCTCTCAAAAGACACTTAAAGACTAAAACTACAAAACTCTAGGTAAATATAAAACTGTTTTTCTAGTACACATCCACAGGAAACCCAAATACATGCTGACTAGCAGGCATAAACTTTTTCAGGTTTTTCTTCCTAATCTTATCCTTTTTTTTTTTTTTTTTTTTTTTTTTTTGAGACAAGAGTTTCTCTGTGTAGCCCTGGCTGTCCTGGAACTCACTCTGTAGACCAGGCTGGCCTCGAACTCAGAAATCCACCTGCCTCTGCCTCCCAAGTGCTGGGACTAAAGGCATGCGCCACCACTGCCCGGCTTATCCTTGTTTTTGATTTGCTTGTTGTTATTATTTTGAAGAGATTAACTCGGTTTAAAAGGTACCTTTGGCTAACTTCTACCCTAAATAAAGCATGAGAAGTTAGGTAACGAATGGATTGTATAGTTAAAAGGACTATCACAGACACTATACAGTTCTGGTAATTTTTCCATAATGGGTCTAGAAGTAAGCCTTTTTTAAAAAAAAGATTTTATTTCTTTTATGAATGTGAATCACTAGCTATCTTCAGACACACCAGAAGAGGGCATTGGATCCCATTACAGATGACTGTGAGCCACCATGTGGTTGCTGAGAATTGAACTGAGGACCTCTAGAAGAACAGTCAGTGCTCTTAACCACTGAGCCATCTCTCCAGCCCTGGTAGTAAGTCTTATTGCATTCATCTTGTAAGATCCAAGAACAATACAGTTTATACACCAGAGGGGAGGGGGTGGATTAAATTTCCATACTCTAAACGAATCACATGGATATTTATTGATCCCTTGCATAATCAGAAAAATAACAAAGAACTATTAATGAATCTGTTTTAAAAGAGTTTGGAAAGCCTCAAAAAACATATATACTCATTTGGGGCCACAGAGGTGGCTCAGTGCTTAAGAGATTTAACTAGTTGCTATTTCAGAGGATCAGCTTTGGCTCCTAGTATTCACATGGCAGCTCCCAACCAAGGAATAACTTCAGTCCCAGGACTTTCTTTGGACCTCTGAGGGTACCAGGTATGCACATGATTGTAGGGGGTGGTTCTGATGCTCTGATGGAAAAATCTGTGTGTGAACCCTGAAGGTCCTGTTCCCCAATTGGTTCTTGATCAATCAATAAAGATACTAGTGGCCAATGAGCTGGGCGAAATAGGCAGGACTTCCAGTTTTCCCAAAGGCAGGCTAGTAGACTCAAGAAAAGAAAAAAGATTCACTATGTTTTGGAGGAAGAAAGAGCCATCAGCCATGTGAGATCTAGGATGGAGTGGCCATTAACAGCTTCCCAGACTGGGATAGCAGCGGGGAGATTAGAGACCAACTGAACTTAGGGCAGACTTAGAGTGCTGAGCTGGGAGTGAAAAGAAGGGCATGATAGCTGAGGAAGGCTTAGAAGAGCCCGGCCATTGAGCTAAAGCACATCAAAGATAAATTAATGTGTGTGTGTGTGTGTGTGTGTACATGCGCCTCATCCCTGGATCCGAGGGAACCTGGGTGGGGCTAGTATCACAGTCCCTCCAGACATGGTACATATGCATACATGTATGTATATGAGTACTCATATACATCAAATAAGTAAATCTAAAACATCCTATTAGATAAAATAAATATTCAGTGAGGTTTTTTTCTGTAGCTAGTCAACACTTATCATGCATAATATTTATCAGCAATCCAACTAGAGCCTTCAAAATTATTTGTTTACTTGGTCTACAAACGACACGAAAAGTCCTTTATCAAAAGTGTTAAACATGGCCGGGCGGTGGTGGCGCACGCCTTTAGTCCCAGCTCTTGGGAGGCAGAGGCAGGCGGATTTCTGAGTTTGAGGCCAGCCTGGTCTACAGAGTGAGTTCCAGGACAGCCAGGGCTACACAGAGAAACCCTGTCTCAAAAAAAAAAAAAAAATGTTAAACATGGGCACACCTGTAATCCTAGCACTTGGGAGGCTGAGGCAGGAAGATTTTGACTTCTGGGCCATTCTGGGCTATATACGAGACCCTCAGGAAAAAAGGGGGGATGTCAAACAGAGTGCTATGGCAGAATGGGGAAAAGGTACTTAAATATATACACTAAGTCAAAACAATGTAGAGTTGTTTGTAAGTTGTTGTTCTTAATTTTCTACACTGGGACCAGACAACCTAGTAGAAATGTGTTCATGCCCTCATCTATGAGGTCACTAAGCTTGTCTTTTCCAGTGTAGTTGTCTAAAGGATCAAGCACAGAATTACTCATATCCTATTATGAATTATTTTAATTAGATAATAGATTCATTTCCTCCAACTCCTAATGAGATCATGGAGTGCTTAAGAGCAAAGTAGGGTATGCTAACAGCATTTTTTTTTAAAAGGGTGGAATGCCACAGACAACAGTTCTGAGCAGGTGGAATGGATAATGTCATAGGGTAGGGGCAAGGTGAGGTTCATGAAAAACAGGTGAAGGAATTCTAACAAGAAGAAAGTGATAAAGGTAAAGGTGATCTTCTTCTACTTTGAAATTATCCTGAGTTCGAGGCCAGCCTGGTCTACAGAGTGAGTTCTAGGACAGCCAGGACTGCACAGAGAAACCCTGTCTCAAAAAAAGAAAGAAAGAAACTATCCTATCTGAGTGGAGTAATGACATGCCACTAAAAGTCATGTGACTAACTGGGGTAAAGACACAACAGAATGAAGCTGGGCAGTGAGGCTTGCCTTTTAATCCTAGCACTCAGGAGACAGAGGCAGGTGGATACTTGTAAGTTCAAGGCCAGACTGGTCTACATATCAAGGTCCAGATTATTTAGGGCTACACAGAAAAATCCAGTCTTGAAAAACAAGCACCACCCCTCAAACCCAAAACCAAAAAGAGACAGCAGAATGATACCATTAGATACTTCAAAGACTTGTCTTAAGAGAAAGGATAAAATATTTGATAAATGGACAATCTCTACCATGACTGATTTTTTTCAGTCATATCTTTATTTATGAATTTCCGCTATCCATATGTACAAGCCTGAGAGAGTGGGGAGGGGGGCGAGCAAACGTAAGCAGAAACTGAATCTGTCTTCTGGCTCAAATTCATGGCTCATGTGATCCTCTCACCTGAGGCTTCCAGGTAGCTGGATTATAAACTCTTTGTACTATGGTGCTTTGCCCATGCCTTTCAATCTAGCCATTCTATATAGTTCTTGACTTTCTTTTCAGATCTACAAAATTTAAAGGAAATGTAACTGTCATTCAGACAAAATTTGGTTCAACATTCAGGAGCCGTGATGAGAGAGGCCATTACTATAATTTGTATGTCAACACTGCTTCATAGCTTTGAATTAAAGTTAGTCCTGATGTGGAGAAACTAAGTAACAACCAAAACAACTAGAAGACTGTGGCATTAGCATGGACACAACAGACAAGAATTTGGGTTACTTAACTTGGTGGAAGATATCCTGAAAAAGGGATTAGCGAGTCATAAGCATGTAATTATACCAGAGTAGGCGAGCAATTGCTGTTCATTTGTTTTTATTAAAAAACAGGAAGTGGATTACACATAGGTGGATCTTTGGCAAGGTTTCTTACTACACAAAAATTGCCTGACATTGGACTTGATGACTGAGTCTGTGAGCCCTATTATTATAATAATCACTTCATAGAGCAGTCTTGAGAATTATAAAAAAGTCAATTAAAAGATTTCATCAATGCCTGGCTCACACTGTAGTTCTTTTACTTTGCCTTATGCCTCTCTCTAAATGCTCTTTGAATTTTGAAAACATAGTATAACTAAATAATGCCAGGCCCTTTTCCTCCCAGGAAACCATCTTTATGTTTCCACTTTATTCTCATTCTAGTGATTAATAAGTTACCAAAAAAAAAAAAAAACCACACACATTTTCTTAATCTTTTTACTATGAGATAGAACTGAACGCACTATATTTTGCTCCCCAAAATTGTGACACTTAGTATTCAAATGACACTTTGAGATTATCTAAACTTGTTTATTTAATCTCAAATATAATAAAAACCTGTGTATTTACGAGGTTTACTCAGATTTAGCCACCTTACTTTTAGAATGGGTTCTGGTGAGTCCTGTACGGTCCTAGCCAGGAAAAGACGATCTCAATTTCTGAAGGTAAAAAAAAAATAAAAATGGATCTAACCTGACCACGACAAGAGGTCCTCAACTGCTCCAAAGGTAAAGGAAATTGATCCAAGCCAACTGAAGGTGAAGGAGCTAAGAACTGGCTAGCAAAAAAAGAAGTGTCGTGAACAAAGTTGGAGAGTGAGCAGAAAGCAAATGAAACGGGAAACTCCGTAGGAAGAGAGGCCAAGGAAAGCCGATTCAAGGCCATTCGAGGAAAAACAGAAAAATACACTTGAGAACAGATCAGAACCCCGCTAGCCAACAGCCTCATACCTGGGCTTCCCGTTCCCGGTGGCGCCCAGTGATGACCTCACGCGCAGCATCCAATCCCATCAAGCTTAGGGAACGAGGCGCCTCCGCCGAACAGTCACTTCCGGGCTGAGAGGCGCGGCGGGCGAGCTGGGCGTGCGCCCTTGCTTCTTGCCCTCAACTCGTATGGCGGATCCCGGGGCGCGTCCCGGGCAGGCCGGGCGAGGCGGGTGGTTCCGGCGCCCGCGCTGAGCGGCTACGAGGGGCGGGGACCCGAGCGGTCCGCGCCATCTGCCCTCAGTGAGGCGGGGCGCGCAGCGGACGCCCCCGGGCAGGGGCGGGAGCGGTGGAGGCGCGAGCGGCTGTCGCTGAAAGGGGCGGTGAGCGTGCTGCTCCGGTCTCTAGGCGAGGCTTGGCCTCCCGCGCCAAGACGGGGCGCAGCGGCATCAGCGGCGGCCCTCGGGCCGGCTGGTGAGGCGATGGCGGCGCCGGGCCCGGGGGCTGGGGCAGCCGCGGGCGGCGCTAGCGGTGGTGGCGCCGGCGCCAGCGCGGGCTCGGGGTCCTCCGGGGTCGGCGGCCGGTTGCCCAGCCGGGTGTTGGAGTTGGTGTTCTCCTACCTGGAGCTGTCCGAGCTGCGGAGCTGCGCCCTAGTGTGCAAGCACTGGTATCGCTGCCTCCACGGTGACGAGAACAGCGAGGTGTGGCGGAGCCTGTGCGCTCGCAGCCTAGCAGAAGAGGCTCTGCGCACGGACATCCTCTGCAACCTGCCCAGCTACAAGGCCAAGGTGAGGGAATCCCGGGCCACGTCGAAACCCGGCTCCTCTCCTGCCCGGCGCTCTCGGGGTTTACCTTTAAAGCTTGAGTCAGATGTTTCACCTCAGCATCCCGCCTTTCCACGGCTTCAGCTAGTCAGTACCACTCTCACTCCTCCTCTCCATAACGATCTTTTCTTTGGATTGAAGTTCTGCTTCGTAATCCACCTCACTTTTTAAAATACTAGGTGTTTTCCCATCATTCATTTTCATCAGTCGTTCTACTTTCGGCCGTTTTTGTTCTTAAAGACCAGCCGATACTCTTGATCATATATTTTCCCTGGCCTCCAAGTAGACTTACGGCATTAGTTCATCGAGGTCGCTTTAAAATGGGTTTAGTTGCTGGGATCTTTTGCGTTCACCACCCCTTTTCCTAGCTTTGATTATTAAGCATATTTTCATAATTCTCACCCACGTTCTTTTAGGGCCATAGTATTTAACACTTCCTAATGTTGATAAGGCTAGGCATCCTGCTAACTAACTTGTAAGAAAGAGACTTTAATATTACTTCCTCTCATTGGCACCATATAACTCATCAAACTGCCTTGTCCTGCTGCTTTTGATAACTTTTTCATAGTTCTACTCTCTTCTGTTATCTAACATGTTGATTCCTGTTTTGCTAGATTTTTGTTGTTGTTCACGATTCTTGTGCTTTCATAAAAAAATTAAAATGCTAACAAACAGGTCATGGCAGGACCAAGTATTCTCCAGGACATACAAACAAAAGGCCTTGGATTAAGGTTTATGTAGCTAGATAGTAGCTCTTCAGGATAGCAGTCATCAAAAGCATATGAAGCCGGTGTGATGATGCATGTCCTTAATCCCAACACTCCAGAGACAGAGGCAGGTGTTTATCTGTGAGTTCAAGGCCAGCTTGGTCTGCCTAGTGAGTTCCAGGACAGCCAGGGCTATATATAATGAGAGACTGTCTCCGAATAGATAGAGTGTGGTAAACATATCTTTTTTTATTTAATGCTATATTGTCAGTGTTGAAATCATTTTTAAATGTGAAAGAGATGCACCATTTCTTTTAATATACGTGTATTATTGTCAATTTGTGTATACACACATTTTATGTCTGTTTTTGGAGACAGGGTCTTACTATGTAGTTCAGGGTGGTCTCCAGCTTGCCATCTTTTTGTCTGTTCCTTGAGAGTGCTAGGATTAGAGGATGGGCCACAGCTGTTGGTATATTCTTGTATATGAAGACTAGTTTTGGTGTGATAAGAGAAGGAACGCTGCTGTTGAATATGTAAGCTATCAGATAGATAGTCTTTATTTTTTTTTTTTTCTGAGAGAGGGTCCAGCCTGGGCTGGCTTGGAACTTAACAGAAATCCACCTGCCTCTGTCTTCCAAGTTCTGTGTCTAAAAGTGCCACCACTCCTGCCCCCCCCCCAAAATTGTATTTTTGTACTTATTTTTGTATTTGACACAAACACACACACACACTTATGCATATGTGAAAAATACCAGTTCCCACAGAGTCTAGAATAGAGTGGCTACCCTTGTAGCTGTAGTTACAGCCACATGACCTCCCCTGCAAGACACACACACATACACACACACACACACACACACACACACACACACACGAAGAGATTGAATTCTGGTACTCTGGAAAATCAGGGAGCACTCCTAACTGCAGACTAAATTGATACTACTTTTGTATATTTCCAGAGAGGTTTTAGTTTTAAGTTTCTAACGCTTCATTTAACTTTCTGCTATATGTACTGCAGCTACAAGGTAGGCTTGTACTTTTTAGGTGACTTTTTGGAAAATAGAAGATTAATTTAGGAGGACCCAGAGAGTCCAGAAGTCTTTAGACTAGGGAAATAACTAACATATAGAAATAACTAACATATGTCACACATTGCTACTTAGTATAGTATAGGAATACTAGAACTTTATCCAAAGGAAAAACTTAGGAGTTGAGAGGAGAAAAAGTTTGAGATTAAAATGACACAAAGCTGAACTTTAAGATGAGGTTGATGTGAAATTTTTGTGAAAAACTCTGAGCAGAAAAAAGCAAGGAAAGCAAAAACGCAAACTCTTATTAACACTTTGCCTGAGTAGGGATTACAGTGTAGTTGAGTGCGTGCGTGCGTGCGCGCGCCTGCCTGCCTGTCTGTTTGCCTGTGTTTCTTTTTTTCAGTGCTGGGGATTGAATACATGCTAGCTATATCCCCAGCCTGGGGGAGTAGATATTAAATATGATCACTGCAGTTGTAAAACTGTATCTAGTAAGTATTATGAATGAGAGTCACATGCTGTTCTGAGTGTCAGTAATGGGAGACTTAACTAGGTACGGAGGTCAGGAAGAGACTTTCTTATAAGACATGATGCCTGAGCTCAGTGACACCTAAAAGATGAAGACACAGAGGCCAAGAGGAACAAGAGGAGCCTCTGAGGGGGGAGGGGACCTGGCTTGTAGGAGAATCCAGAAGACTGTCAGCGGTTGCCATGAGAGTGCAGGAGATGCTGGTTTGAGTAAGATGAAGGGAGTGTGACACAGTGAAGCTTTTCTAGTTGGAAACAAGAACAGCAGCCATGGGGAGTGGTGGCGTGGTCAGTTTGTGTTAGTTTTGACTCCACTATGGAGAACAGGTTGGAATACGATTTTAGAAATGTGGTAGATCCATTAGAAAGTAGGTAATGAAGGAGATGGAGAAAAATAGACAAACTTAGGAAGTAGAATCTATAGAATTTGATGACTGTTCCTCCTATTGCCTTTAGATATGGCACTAGGATTTTAGGTCATCATAAATTAAAATTGATTTTTTTCACTCAGAGAATATTAAGATACTGGGTTATCTATGTATTCTCTGGAATTTGCGGGATCAAACAGTTTTTTTAAAAAAGAATCTGTAGAATTTGGGAGTAGTTTTGAAATAGAGACAAGGAAGGAGGAGCTAAGGATGACTCTTAGATATTTGGCTTACATAATCTATGTGTCACTTAAGTGACAGTTTGGAGGAAAATGACAGCAGGTTCACTTGTGGAAGAGCAGAATTCATAGTGCTTTTGAGATAGTCACCAGATTTCAGATAGGCAGCTCCTGGTAGCCAAGGATTAGAGGCAGTCTAGGCTAAAGATAGGAATTTTTTGTTGGACTGAATGAAGGTGACCAGGAACTAACTATGTCATGGAAGAAGGCCTTTTGAATGTCTTTGATATATTGTTTGGGCTTTATTCTACAACTGGAAAAACCATACAGGTTTGAACAGAAGAACAATGAAGTAAAGCTGTGCTTTAAAGAGACTAGGCCCTGAGAGACAGAGGGCACATACAGGAGAGGAAGACACAACTGGGGGAGCTGTCACAGAGAACAACTCCACGTAGGTGACAGTTGACAGTGAGTGGGATTAGAGAAGGTGGATTCAGCAGAACTCCCAAGGAGCCTGGGCAACTGAAGCCTGAGCGTGAGAAGTGTTTTGGAAGAGTTTGGTTGGTTCATTTTGTTCTCCCTCCTTCCCATCTCTGCCTTTTATCTCCTTCTTCCATGCTGTGGCTCAAAACCAGGGCCTGATTCATGCTTAGCACTCACTCTGCCATTGAGCTACACCCCCAATTCCAGAAATGTTCTTTTTTTTTTTATAACTCAACTTTACTTATTTCCAAGTAGTAGTTAGTTATTTCAAATATTTTGTATCTAACTATTCCCTAACTTTCAGACTTATATCCTGAGCTAGGCCTTTTTTAGTTTTGTTTTTAGAAGCAGAATTAGAGACAGTTTGTTGAGAAATGGTGGGTACTCTAGAGAAAGAGGCGGGCTAGCGAGCTGAGGGAAAAGTGTGCACTCAGAAGCCCTGGGCTAGGTCTTCATGCTGTTGAAATAGAAAATTTAGGTTCTTCAGAAAGAGACAGAAACCACCACTTTATGTATGTATGTATGTATGTATGTATGTATGTTTTGTTTTTCGAGACAGGGTTTCTTTGTGTAGCCCTGGCTGTCCTGGAACTCACTCTGTAGACCAGGCTGGCCTCGAACTCAGAAATCCGCCTGCCTCTGCTTCCCAAATGCTGGGATTAAAGGCGTTTGCCACCACTGCCTGGCCTTGTTTGTTTTTTAAAATAGGGTTTGTTTCTCTGTGTAGCCCTGGCTGTCCTGGAACTTGCTCAATAAACCAGGCTAACCTTGAACTCAAAAGACCCACCTTCCTCTACCTCCTGAATGCTGGGATAAAGGTATATTTGGCCTTTAAAATTTATTAATTGGGTCTTTTTTCATTTCATTTGAATTTTTCTGTATTTGTTCTAAAAACAGCGACCCATAATATAATCATGATACTACTGTCATCTCTAAAATGAAACTGACAGTAATTTCTTATGACAAAAAGAATAGTTGCAGTGTTGTCTCATAAATGTGAGCTATTATAATTTAATTTCTAGTTTATTAAATCAGTTTCTGTCTATGCTCCTTTGACAAGGAGTTGCTAGGCCTTGTAAGGATATCTTAGTGTCCTGATTGATCCCACCCCACCTCCTGCCCCTGCAGCTTGGTATCATCTACATTCCTTAACGTGTTACTCAGTGTGCTCCTCTCTCCTCCCATTTCCTGTAGACTCTACAGTATGAAGCATTGACCAATTTAGATTACAGTAGATTGGTTGGTTGGTTGGTTGGTTGGTTAGTTGGTGGTTTTTTTTACAAAATACTTATTACTAAAATCATGTGCTTAGAGGTGTGGTAAAAACAAGATCCTTATACTTAAGTGTGATGATAGTGACTGAGAATTCAGGAGAGAGGAATGATGGGGATTGGGTAGTCCTGGCAAGGAATACCTTCATGGAGGTGGCGGTAGAGAACACAAGAAGAGGACACAGCTAGGGCACCAGGAGCTGGGCAGGCAGGTGAGAATGAAGTGCGGCAGCCTGCTCGGAAGGCTCTGAAGCCAAGCAGAGCTAGCAGTCGCTGTGGTGCCATGTGTGAAGCTATCAGAAGTTATTAGCTGGCATGAGATTCAGTGGAAATGCTGTTTTAGAAAGCTCTGGACAGAGTTTAAGGTTAAGGACAGAGTTTATAGACTTCTAGGGGGCAGAGGAGGGAGTCACTGTAAATGAATGTGGTAGAGTTGGTTCAGCAAAATAGGAAGCTGGAGTAGGAGGTTGAGGAAGAGGTTGTTAGTATGTATCACTGGGGCAAAGGGAAGATTGGAGAAAAGCACCTGGAATTTGTAAGACTAGGAATAGGAATAGGCGATGAGGAAATAACAATGTAACATTATCATGAGGACTTCATTCTCTTCACGTCATTCTTTTGATTTAGAAAATACTTGTTTGTGAATATTTTTCTCCCTTGTTTACTTATGTGAGTGCTCACACCACACCAACATATAACTTAAATATATATAAACTGAAATAGGAGAAAAAATTCAAGAATGCTTCGTTTGTCCATTTTCCTTATGGAAACAGAATACCTGAAACAAGGCCTTACTCTACAGCACAGCAACAGTGAGACAGGGAAGTGCTGGCTATTGGACAATGAACTCAACCTGGGAGCTGGGTCCCTGCCACTCTTACGGCTCTCTCCTGCATGCTGTTGCTCTTTAGGTCTGTAACCCTCTGCCCCCTTGTTTCCCCTTCACATTTATTTATTTTATGTGTGGGTGTTCTGCACCACATTCATTCAGTTCCCACAGAGACCAGAAGAGGATGTTAGGTCCTCTGGAACTAGAGCTGCAGTGTGTTGGGAACTGTTCCTAGGTCCTCTGCAAGAGCAACAAGTGCTTTTAACTGCTGAGCCATATGTCCAGCCACATATACATACATAAATACACACACACATAAATACATATATCTGTATTTTCCCCCTTCTGTGTAGCCCTGGCTGTCCTGGAACTCTGTATACCAGCCTGGCCTCAAACAGATCTACCAGCCTCTGTCTCCCGAGTGCTGGGATTAAAGGCATATGCCACCATACCTAGCTCTAAGTTTTATATTTTTAAAAGATGAGAATTTGTCATTATTCGTACAAAGGAGCTATTTAAAACATGTTTTCATGTTAGGAGCTTAAAAAAAACTTTATGAAAGGCTAAATCATCTATCTTCTTGGTAACCATTCCCTTTTTTTTTTTTTTTTTTTTTGGTTTTTCGAGACAGGGTTTCTCTGTGTAGTCCTGGCTGTCCTGGAACTCACTCTGTAGACCAGGCTAGCCTCAAACTCTTGAACTCAGAAATCCACCTGCCTCTGCCTCCCAAGTGCTGGGATTAAAGGCATGCGCCACCAGTGCCTGGCTTCTTCTGGTTGAGTTTGTGTGCTGTCTAGGGGATGTGGCTTAGAACAAAGAGTAGTGATGTCAGTGTGTGAGTCATACCTAGCGAGTAAACGGAGGATCTAAGGGAGTTTGTGGGCAATAAAATCTTCTCTTCACTTTAGAACTGTTGTGACTAAGATCATTATATAATATTTTGTATAAAACACACACATATATTTTCCTCTTGCATATGCTGGGCCAGGATACTACCAGTGAGCTCAGCCCTCACATAGTCCAGGCTGGCCTCAAACTTGATATGTAGCCTTAAACTTCGGCTCCTCCTGCCTCTTCTTCTCCAGTGGTGATTGCAGCATATGCCACACTAGGCTATAATTCTCTTTTTATCACAGCATTGATGATGTGGAAACTGCATCACTTAAGTGTAAGTAAAGGAAAGAAAGCAGTGTGCTGAATTTTCATGTGCCATCCACACAAGCTTTACCATGGACTCAGGACAAATCTGGTTTCATGTTTACTCCACTCTGCCTCTAGGTGTTTGTAAGCAATTACCATTTATAGTTATTTTATGCATAAACATTTTAGTGGCCGGGCGGTGGTGGTGCACGCCTTTAATCCCAGCACTTGGGAGGCAGAGGCAGGCAGATTTCTGAGTTCGAGGCCAATCTGGTCTACAGAGTGAGTTCCAGGACAGCCAGGGCTACACAGAGAAACCCTGTCTCGAAAAAAACAAAACAAACAAACAAAAAAAACCCCAAAAACCATTTTAGTAATATCACTGTAAAGTACAAGGATAGTTGTGTGTATGTTTTGATCTGTTAAGCTTGCTTGTAGACATTGTACTAGTTTGGAATTTGGTCAGTAAGACAGTTGAATTGCTCCCCTCTTTCTTTGGACAGGATCTTTCTGTTTCCCTTGTTCATCGTAACCTGGCTCAAGTTATCCAGAGTAGTTAGGTCTGCAGGCATGTGTTATCATGTCTAGCTCTAGCTGAGAGTTATTTTTAACAGGGTATAGTATTTAATGATAGTTTCACATCCAGAAAATTTGGTCATTATTTGGAAATAGTGTTATTTAAAAGCTTATTATCTTATTATTTGTAAACACAAAGCCTCAAGGTTTTTGGGTTTTTGATTTGGAGCAGGGGAGAGAGATGGGGTTTAGTTGTCGAGTAGCCCAGGCTGGCATTGAATTTTCAATCCTGTTTGAGCATCCCAGAGGGCTCTGAGATCTAAGTTCACAAGTATGAGCCAGTGTGTTAAACTTGTTGCATTTGAATAGTTACGAAAAAAATCAAGTTTATTCTTCATATGTTCTGTTTCTTGTGTTGTTAGGTGCGTGCTTTCCAACATGCCTTCAGCACGAATGACTGCTCCAGGAATGTCTATATCAAGAAGAATGGCTTTACATTACACCGGAACCCCATCGCTCAGAGCACCGATGGTGCAAGGACCAAGATTGGTTTCAGTGAGGGCCGCCATGCCTGGGAAGTGTGGTGGGAGGGCCCTTTGGGCACTGTGGCAGTGATCGGGATTGCTACGAAACGGGCCCCCATGCAGTGCCAAGGTTATGTGGCATTGCTGGGGAGTGATGACCAGAGCTGGGGCTGGAATCTGGTGGACAATAATCTACTACATAATGGGGAAGTCAATGGCAGCTTTCCACAGTGCAACAATGCACCAAAATATCAGGTGAGAAAGGATATTTTCTCAGTGTGGGCCATTTCAAATCACATCTTAGTTTGTTTAAAACATGCACATTTTAATGCTGGCACTAGAGGTTTTTGTCTTTGTTTTGGTAAATTTTAAATAAATGGTAGACTGTTACATGTCAGTATTTCTTAATACATATTTGAGCAATCCTTCTGTGCTCTGGATCAGAGGTTGCCAAGCTTTTTCTGTATAGGTCAAAGAGTAAATATTTTGGACTTTGCTGTTTATATGTCTCAGAAACACTGTCAGCTGTGTTGGTGTAACATCATATCAGCACAGATACTGTGAATAAAGAAACATGCTGTGCTTGAACAGACCTTATTTATGCTGCAGGACTCGTTTGGCCAGGGGGTACAGGCAGTTGGATCTCTGAGTTCAAGGCCAGCCTGGTCTACAGAGCAAGTTCTGGGACAGCCAGGGCTAACCAGAGAAATCCTGTCTCAAAATACATACATACTTGTTGGATTCTCTACATGTTGTCTCTTTTGATGAGTGTTCCATATATGTTTAAAAACAACTTATATTCTGTTCTTAGATGGAGTAGTCTGTAAATCATAGGCCAGATGGGCAGGATTTAAGTCGCCTATATTGTTAGTGATTGTGAGATTGTGACTTGTTCTTTTACTGAGAAAAGTACTGAAGTCTCCGACTATCCTCTCTAGCTTGTCTATTTTTCTTTTTGGTCTATCATTTTTTGCTTCATAGACTCAAGGGTTCTAATTGTTTTCCTTTATAAATGACCTTTGCCGGGCCTTTGCTTTGATCTATCTTGTTACTAAAATGAGACCCTCAGTAGAAGGTGGTTTAGTCTTTTTCGTTTAACAATATTTCACAGTCTCTCATTTGAGAATTTAGTCCATTTATCATAATTGTTAGACAACTTAATAGTATCTCCGTGTTCCTTAATTTATGATCTTTTTATTTCTTGTCTGCAAGTCTTGTTTCTCATTGTTGTTTGTTTGTTTTTGAGACAGGTCTCACTATGTATTCCTAGCTGGCCTGGAACTCACAGATATCCACCAGCCTCTGCTTCCCAAGTGCTGGAGTTAAAGGTATACACCACCATGTTTGGCACTTTGTCTTCTTTGATTGCATAGTTTCTATTGCTCTAGCTTCATGTCCACTATTAATTTATTCTACCTTCTGAGTTTGCTGTTGAACCGGGCTGATGAGTTCTGGTTACTATATGCTTTGGATCTAGATTCCATTTGTTTTCTTCTTTTGTCTCCATGTCTCTATTGCAATTTTGTGTTTATTTAATTCTTTGGACATACTTAGAATGTCTTAACTGCATTTCACAGTTATACACACAGTACACACACACACACACACACACACACACACACACACACACTGTAAATACTTTGAATTCTTTGTCAAATTAGAAGGCCTAGGTCCAGGTAGTCAGTTTCTTTGGATTTCCCATCACTTTGAGAGTCATACTTTTCTTATTTTAGCCTCGTGACTTTTCTTTTTGAAATGAAAATTGGATGTGTGGGTAAGATGTATTAACAACTCTGGAATATCTCCTTTTTCTAGAAACTGCTTTATTCTTTGATACATGCAGATTTTCCAGTAAAGGAAGGCAGTTAACTTGTTGGGACTCAAGGCTGTAAGCTTCTTGCCCCTGTGGTATGCAGCAGCAGCTTTCAGCTTTGATCTAGGCCTCTCTGTTCTCTCAGTCCACTTCCCTGGGAGCTTTTCATGTGTGTCATCCCTGTGGTCTCACATGGCTTGGGTGGAGTTTATGTTCAGGTTTGGATCCTCGCCCTCTTCTCTTCTTTTGCTCCCTTCCACGGTGTCTATTAGTCCTACCGTCCACTTTTTTTTTTTTTTTTTTTTTTAAATTTTTGAAGCCAAGCAGTGGTGGCGCACGCCTTTAATCCCAGCACTTGGGAGGCAGAGGCAGGTGGATTTCTTTCTTTCTTTCTTCCTTCCTTCCTTCCTTTCTTTCTTTCCTCCTTTCTTTCTTTCTTTCTTTCTTTCTTTCTTTCTTTTTTCTTTGTTTGTTTTGTTTTTCAAGACAGGGTTTCTCTGGAACTCACTCTGTAGACCAGGCTGGCCTCGAACTCAGAAATTCGCCTGCCTCTGCCTCCCAAGTGCTGGGATTAAAGGTGTGCGCCACCACCGCCCGGCTGCCTGGTCTACAGAGTGAGTTCCAGGACAGCCAGGGCTACACAGAGAAACTCTGTCTCGAAAAACAAAAAACAAAAAAAATAAAAAATAAAATAAAAATTTTGAGACAGAGTAGCCCCATGTAGCCCTGGCTGTCTTAGAACTCACTGTGGGGCTGGAGAGATGGCTCAGCGGTAAGAGGACTGACTGTTCTTCCAGAGGTCCTGAGTTCAATTCCCAGCAACCACATGGTGGCTCACAACCATCTATAATAGGATCTGATGCCCTCTTCTGGTATGTCTGAAGACAGCTACAGTGTATTCATATAAATAAAATAAATCTTTTAAAAAAAGAAAGAAAGATCTCACTGTGTAGACAAAGCTAGCCTCAAACTCAGAGATCTTCCTGCCTCTGCCTCCAGAATGCATTTTACCCTCTGACACCAACACTATGGAGACTTGTGCTTTCCAATTCCTTTACTGTGAACACACATGCTGTAGGTTCCAAGGTGACATAAGTTGTGTCGTCTCAGTCTGCTTTAGAACAAGGCTAATTCCTGAGACTGATGTCAGGACTCTAGGATAAGAAGCAGTGTTGCCCGACAGAGCCTGAGCCTTGTTCTGTTTGTATTTGTTTGGCAGACATTGTAAAGAGATTGGACATGTTAGTGGTTCAGTTGGGCAAGGAGTGGATAAAAGCAGATGTTGGTGGTCATTTGTGACAGGAAAGTTACTGACAACAGCAGGAGTTACCATAATCAGGAAGTGTTAAATCTTAATTATAAATCTTAGGACTTTCCCTCTCCCTTTGACAGGAGACAGGAGCTCACATAGCTTAGCTGGCCTTGGTCTCACAGTGGAGCCAGCGATGGCTTTGAACTTCCATCTTCCCACTTCCACCTCCCACTTAGGTGCTGAAAATACAAGCATGCACCATTCTCAGTTTGTGTGGTGCTTGGGATTGAAGCCAGAGCTTCATGCACGCTAGGCAAGCAGCCTGACAGAGGAGGCCATGCCAGTCCTACTTTCCAGTCTCAGCATACAGTGTAGCCTTTCTTTATGGATGCAAACTAGAGGATGACACAGTCCTGCTGTCTCAGTGTGTAAAGACAGGAGTAAAGCTGGGTGTACTGAGTTTGCAGTTTCAACAGTCAGTGTTGCTATGCATAGTAGCATAGCAGCATAGGCACAGACACCTCTGATCTCAGCACACAAGACGCAGAGGCAGGCAGATCTCTGAATTCAAGGCTAGCCTGCTCTACAGAGTGAGTTTCAGGACAGCCAAGGTAATATAGACAAACCTAGTCTTTAAAAATTTAAAAAAAAAAAAGAAAGAAAGAAAGAAAAAAAGAAAGTCAAAATAAATGTGTGTGGAGAATAATGTGTGTTCTTTCTTCAAGCTATTTACCCCCAACCAGAAACTCCCCTTCTCACTAACAGAGAGATAACTTAGAGATACAGATTCTTTGTATGTTTTCCACTTTCTGATTTGTATCCTCTTTCTTCTAGCCATGCCTTTGGTGGATATCGTGCTAACCTTGTCATGTCTATTTACAGATAGGAGAGAGAATCCGAGTCATCCTGGACATGGAGGATAAGACTTTAGCTTTTGAGCGTGGGTATGAGTTCCTGGGGGTTGCCTTTCGAGGACTTCCAAAAGCCTGCTTATACCCAGCAGTCTCCGCAGTATATGGCAACACAGAAGTGACTTTGGTTTATCTTGGAAAACCTTTGGATGGATGACAGTGGCTTTCTGGAAAGAAAGACAGTGGAGAAGAGATCTACTTGTGGAAAGTAGAACCATGAAGTGATAGTATCATGTGTGCATGCCCAAGAAACATCCTGAAGACACATGAAGTTGAGAACTGGAGAAGCAACTCTACCACAGAGATGGTCATAGCGTTTCCTCTTTCTACTGGGCCAGAAAATCCTCAGGGTTGCAGTTGGTTGAGTGGGCAGTTGACATATGCATGTTGCCACAGAGTTTTCTCTAAGTTAGCAGTGTGTTACTTCCAGCTTAAAGGTGAGCATGTAGAGATGCCACAGGAGGGAATCGCAAGAGTTTATGTAGTGTTCATGGAGAAGGCTCGGTCCCATCTTACAGCTGCCTGTTCTTTCTCCAGTCCCTTTATTTCTAGCCAGCTTGACTTAGAAAGTATGAAACTGGCTGGATTTTATTTAATATTTTTAATATATCGAGAAGCATGGTCTGCCTGGACTGCACTTCTCTAGCAATGAGAAATAAAATTGTGCAGCTATTTTAAAAGTTGTATATATAATGTGTGTAAAAACTGTAAAAAAAAAAATAAGGGACAAAGGCATTGCTTTGTTCTACTTCAGTTTCTTAAAAATCACTACATGGTACAAAATTACAGTGACATTTGGGGACAGTAGGGTAACAGAGAAAAAGAGGAGACATGTTGTACTGGCTCATTTGATAGTGTTTTGGGCTTATAGTCCATGGCTATAACAGAATTATGATAAAGGTCCTCATTTGGTTAAAGACTGGGAAAGCAGATCTACTTAGAATTATGCATATGCCAGCAAGGCTGATTCAGAAGTAATAGGAATGTGCCTCTTGGCATCTGGCTTTAGTCTTTGGCCTTCTGAGAAAACTGGTCTCCACACAGAACAGTTTGAGCTGCTCCTACAGTACTCAGTATGTACGTCTTACATGAGCACTATTGATGTAAACCCTAGGAGAACACATGGTCAGCGGTTCTTTTATTTCTTAACTTTATAATGCTGTAGTTGTTATGAAGAATTTTTAATTTCATATTGTTTACATTATACAACGTTCGAAGCCTCAAATTCTCCATTGAGGCTGTCATGAAATGTTTACTCGCCCATCTGAAACAGTGCCAGCCTGAACCCAGGTTAGGAATATTCTTAATCACCTAGGTGTTGCCCCCATGGGACTTAATGCTGAAAACTTCAGGTTGGCAACAATATGAAAGCTTCATTGGAAAGAGGTGAACGTTATTTCCTATTTGGACCCATAAACCTTCTCACTAATATTCTCTGAAATTAATAATTCAACACATGAGCTGAGGTGGTTGTTGATTTTTTTCTTGTGTTAGAACAGAAACATCTTTCTGTATAAAAGTATAATTAATATGGTTCAGATACATAAGAATTGATGAAGGCAAGTAAAATCTTTGTACTTTTTACATGATTGCTGTATGTATATTTTGTTTTAAATCTAATAAAATTAGGGACAGAGAGCAGCTTGCTGGGGTTCTTGGGTTCATTGAGAATTAAATTTGTCAATCCTGCTATGAAACAGGAGGCTTCGGCCACAGAACAATCTGTAGTTGCCTCCTGAAAGGGTTACAGGTATTTATTGTATATTTGCTATGTTGCTTGAAAAAGAGAATTTTGTTAAAGATTCTTTTTGATAATCTGTATCAAGAAGAAACCTTGTACAAAGTGGAATTATATGTTAAACGTATTAGGGAAGATAGCTGGCCCAGGAATTGTTTTGTTTTTCTTGTTTTTTGTGGGTTGTTTGTTTGTTTTTCTGCTCTAGAACAACTCAATTTGGTTGCACTTAAAAGTTGATTAAAAATCTGGTTAAGGATGGAGAGTGACTAGTTAAAGGTGCCGCAGTCCTGATCTGGTTAAGGATGGAGACTGACTAGTTAAAAGGTGCCGCAGTCCTGACGCACTTGCTGCATCTAAAGGGTAGGACAGTTCCTCAAGCTTCCGGTGAGTTTGACTCATAACTTCTGTTTTTGTCTTATTGTTGGTAAATGTTCATGTGCAACAAGTTTTTGAAGGTGCTGACTGGAAAACAAAATCACATGGTTTTTCATTCCTCCTTGAACCTAGAGTCGGATAATTGCCTAACAATTTAACACCAAGCCATTCTTCCTGTGTCTTGTCTTGTTTTTGATTGTTTAAGACTGGGTCTCGCCGGGCGGTGGTGGTGCACGCCTTTAATCCCAGCACTTGGGAGGCAGAGGCAGGCGGATTTCTGAGTTTGAGGCCAGCCTGGTCTACAGAGTGAGTTCCAGGACAGCCAGGGCTACACAGAGAAACCCTGTCTCGATAAGACTGGGTCTCACTATGTAACTCAAGCTATCCTTGAACTCACAGTGATCTCCCTGCATCAGCCTCCCCAAAACTGGGATTAGAGGTGTATGCTACCATTCTCAGAACAACAAACCATTTTAGCTCAAAGAACTGAATGATCCTAGGTAGGACGGGCATCTAGAGAACAAAGAACCTTCATTTTATAACCTGATGTATTTACTAGAAGTCTTGTTACTAGAGACAGTAGTGGCTGCCCAGATCATTAAGACAGACTGCTCAGTGTTGAAGGAGGTCGTGCTCTCATTGGTGCTTAAAGAGCATGTGGAGGAAACAGTTGTACCTGAGCTGAGTATAAACCACCTAAGTCAGTGCTGCTCAAGCGTGGCTGGATCTCATGGTGGCTTACAAAATGCTAAACTTGGGTCCATATCCTGATTATCCTGATTCCAGTGTTGGAACTGGGATATGCTCTGACCATAAGGATTTAAAAATGCCCTGGTTTCAAAATGCTACCAAAGGTTGAGAGCAGTTGTCCTGAATTTCTCATCTACCAAGTAGGAAATTCTTGCTCCCCTCACTACCTCACAAGGATACAGAGGGCGCAAGAGAGAACCCTGGAAGTGTTGGTGTTGTGGGTGAATGGTGCTGCAGCAGTGCACGCATCTATTCTATTTCAGCTGCAGCCGCGATGAGGGAAACGTGTAATTGAATTTGTTGTGGCTGTAGGAAGCATGCAGCAGTGGGACAAACATTAACTACTATTGCTCTTATTCACTATGGTCTTCTGTCCTACTTGAGACAGGCAGTCACATTATCTAGGCTTTCATAGGAAAGAAGAAATATTAAGGCTTAATTCTGTAATGTTCATTGGCTCATAATTCATTAAAAGGTTCATACAAGGAACTCTGTGGTCGTACATGTCATTTCATGGTTGCCATGTTTTTCATCGTTGACTTCTGAATGTCAAGCCATTTCGTTCATCTCTCATTTTTACTCAAATAAGCTTACATACAGACGAAACAAAGCATCTGAAGCGAGTTCACTCTGTCCAGCTGAGCATGTGAAATGGCTCCATGCTGAGGTAGCTCCTGCATCTTGGGTCTGACGTGACTATAAAGCATGAAAAACAGCAAAGACAAAAATTTAACAGAATTAACAGTTAACTTCATTGTTTTTATATCTTTTAATCAAGAAGTAACAGTTTGATGAGACAGAAATTAAGGAGTTTTCAAAAGTATTAGTACTAAAAGGATTCCATAAGCTGAGACTACCACAGTTGAAACTGTGAACAAGGCCATATTGATGATTGTTGGAACCAAATGCTTGTCTGCCTACCCTCCTCAAGTTCTCCTCAGACCCCCCCCCCAACAGTCTTTTCTCCCTTGCAAGTTTCCTAGTTTTGTATTTTAATACATACTTGACTCAAACTGTGGGCTTTATTCTCTGCTCATAACTCTTGCTGTCTAGCTCCCTGATACAGACACGGCATCTTGGGTGTACTCTTTCTAATCTTTAAGCCTAGTAAGTAGGGCTCTCATACTTTCTACGGAAAAGAATGACTTCTAGATATACAGACTAAAGAATAAGCGAAGACAAATGAGAAAGAAATTCTGTGTCCAGGTGAAGCAGAATGGTATAGGTGGAAGATCTGAGTGAATGTAGTGTTGTCACTGTCAATAGTTTTTGGCCACACCTCCCAACCCCCAATTCACAAATGCTGGTAAAATGATCTTCTAGTTCTTGATATAGATTTCATATTGCTTTAGAATAGAAGTGAGAATGTTGATTTTTAATTTGGAGGGTTAGGGGTTCTGTTTTGCCTTAGCTTCCTGATGCAAAGTTAAAACTAGGGGCTGGCTGCCGGGCGGTGGTGGCACACGCCTTTAATCCCAGCACTTGGGAGGCAGAGGCAGGCAGATTTCTGAGTTCGAGGCCAGCCTGGTCTACAGAGTGAGTTCCAGGACAGCCAGGGCTACACAGAAACCCTGTCTCGAAAAACCAAAGGAAAAGCTGGGCGGTGGTGGTGCACGCCTTTGATCCTAGCACTTAGGAGGCAGAGGCAGGCGGATTTCTGAGTTCAAGGCCAGCCTGGTCTACAGAGTGAGTTCCAGGACAGTCAGGGCTACACAGAAACCCTGTCTCTAAAAACCAAAAAGAAAAAAAAAGAAAAAAAAAACCAAAGTGGGGGAAAAAAAAACTAGTGCTGGCAAAATGGCTCAGCAGGTAAAGACACTTGCCACCAAGCCCTATGACCTATGATCTCTGGGGCACACATAGTTGGAGAGAGAGTCAACTCCCAAAAGTTGTTATTTCACATGCAGGCTGTGGTCCACATGTGTATGCACAGTTCCAGACAGAATAAAAAGTAAAAAAAATCTTTTTTAAATAGCTAATGTCTGCATAGGGATCTAGCTCCGTGATAGAGTGCTTGCCTAGCATGGGTTCAATCTCCAGCACCATAAATAACAAAATGCTGATGTCTGAAGTTTAGTTCTAAGCATATAGTGGAAGTAGGCTAGACATCTTTGTTTAACATGGCTGACTTGCTTGTTTCCCAATCTGTTCCGTGCTCCTTCATTGTATGAATGATAGTTTGTTATGCTGCTTTCATCTGTGTATCATGCACTTTGGTCACACCCTTCCCATTACCTCTGCCCTCCCTCCAGCCTTTCTACTTTGATATCATATGAGTGTGCAGTTAAGTCTAGCTAGACTCTGCATGTGGCAGGAAATGCAGTCTGTCTGAGTCACCAGTTTTTTATGTTTTTTTGAGGTAAGATCTTACTCTGGAGTGGAGCAGGCTGGTCTGGAACTTAGATCTGTCATGTTACCAATCTCCAGAGTATTGGGATTACAGACATGTGCCACCATATATGGCACGTCTTCAGTTTCGAAGGAAAAAAAAGACTAAGATTGGAATGAAAACTGACAGTCCTCTTCAGAAGCCGAAGGGTGATAGTCATTTCTAGCCAAGGTTCCCAGAGTGGTCAGGGTGTGCACACATGATCTCTTACCGAAAGGTGATGAAGGGGCTGGCTGGCTAAAGCATTGAGAGGGAGCTGAGTGTTATCCGCCCTTTCAAAGAACACACTGCAGCTGACATACAGAAGTGTCAGTGAGTCCCTACACTTTTCTTATGTGTTCTATGTGGCCATAATTGAGCTTTCACATTGTGAAAGGTCTCTCCAGCCACCCCGCTGTCAGCCCACCTACTCGAACTGAGAAAGAAAGAAATCAGAAAAGTTAATTCAGTATTGGTTAAATATTTTGTGGCACCCATTCCACGACAGGCTCTTGCCAGCTACTATGAATATAAATAGAGAAGAACAAAACTAGAAACAACAGTCTGTTCTGCAGTTGCTCCAGAGTTATGTGAAGGTGACCACACCACCAAAGAGGTCACTGCCTTAATGGACTTTCTGTGGGGTCCTGTGTGGCAGAGAATGGATGCTCTAAACATGGAATGATGTTTAAGAAGAGTCTCAGGAGATGAAAGCATAGATCACTGTTGTAGACAGATGGCAGTCCGTGCTGTAGCGCAGGGCGTAAGTAGTATCTAGCAACTGCATGCTGGAGAAGTGGTGAGAGAATAGAGCACCAAGATATTGAGGCCAGGTTTTAGCAGTCAAATTAAGGGCTTTGGACTTTTCCTGTCTCATGGAAAAGCAAAGGCTTGCGTCAGGGTCATGATCCACACTACAATCCTATGATTACTCTACCTGCAAAAAGTAACAGCAGGTTATGATGGAAACATAACTAAGGTGACTAGGGATATGAAGGAGACAGGTATTGAGGTATTCTGAGGGAATGGGGAGATGGCTCGGTTGGTAGTGTTTGTTGTGGAAGCAGGCTTGAGCACCACAAGCTGGACTTGTTGACACATACCTGTTACCCCAGGGCACAGGATGAGGGGAATCCTTGAGCTTGCTGGCCAACAGCCAGTCTAGCCAAATCAGTGGGGTCCAGGTTCAGTGGGACTACTTGTCTCAGAAAATAAGGTGGAAAACAACTAAAGAAGAGACCCCAATGTTGACCTCTGGCCTACACTGCTGTCTTACAGTTTCTATTGCTGTAGAAACCACCATGACCAAACAATTTATAGTCCCAACATGAAGAGAAGCCAGGGCAGCAACCT